CCATTCGCGTTCCTCCGTCGTCCCTCCCTCGGCCGCTTCCCCCTAATACACGTTTCTTCACGGCTCAGTCACGCTTACGCCAACATTTTCGACCGATTCTGCACATGTCCCTCAAGCGTAATTTACTCCCGCTTGTCGATAATCGACGAGCAGCGCGACTCGGTACAACATCCTGACGTGCCAGCCATCGCCAAAGAGACGGTGGCGGATGCGGCGACTGCCAGGCGTCGGTCGGCAGGCATCGGCCAACGCACAGCCGGTCACACTTGGGCCATCGATTTAAGAGTCTTTGTGAAAATGTGAAGATGCGAAAACCGAGCCTTGCGAACCTCACTTGATTCGCGAATGCACTGCTAGCTTTCAAGCAAATACTCAAACTGCATAATGATGTTTCACAAAGCCTGCAGGCACTGGGTCGCGTTTATGTAACAGCGTTGGCGATGCGGAACTGCCGTCTTCTACTTCGCCTCAATCCATAGCAACGGTCAGTCAACAGCTCAAAAACAACGCTGGGGCGTGCTGATGGCGCCACGCGATGAAACGCGCACTCGCCAGAGAGTCAGCGAGTGAGAGAGGCAGTGATTGATACGCGGGCTGTGGCGTTTTCACACGTTCGCTACAAGATTTATGATCCAAGCGGAAGAACAATAGCCATTAGTCAGTCTGAGATTCGAATTAAAATGTTCATAAATCAGTTTAATTCCGGTCACTAGCCTGCAACGGTAAACAAGACATGAAAAGATAACCCAAGCATAAGAAAAAGGGAAATTTTCTTTTCTACGTTGCAGCATTCTTTTACGTGTTCTTGCTTGCCGCTACGCGAACGCCCCGACACTTAGTCGAACTTATATGGATGCAGCAGCGATTGAATCGGGGGTGAGAGAAGGCAGATTATGCTAATGAATTAGGTAAACGAATTTTAGCCATCGGCCAAAAAACTTTCACATGTGATCAGTGACTGAACCTTAAGTACAAGCATCTTGATTGTCACCACTAAAGATGCTCGGAAGAATCAAACCCAACGATGATGAGTTTTTGAATGAAATATAGGAAAGATCAGTATTTGCAGTGCAGTTGTGCCAATAAGATAGTTCAAAATGAAGCGCACCACAGCCATTCTGGTCAGACAGGGAGTCAGCAATAGCCAAAGCAGGAATCCCGTGACAGGGGAAGTGTGATTACGATTGAGTACTTTCTTATCATTCGTTAGAGCTGCTATGAAGCCGTGCAAGTAGAAATATTTTGAAAGCCAATTTTTACGATATTCTAATTAAAAGCTCAGTTGAAATACCTCTGAGTCACAGTTCAAATGTCATGACGTTTAGAACGCACCAAAATCTGTTCCTATTCCATCACGAAATTTTGACTATGCTACCGCTTCAGCCACTGCTACTGTATTCATTCAGGCTAAGTTTTGGCCTCCTAGCCGCTATCTGCCTGCATCGATGGATTAACTTCCTTCCAGTACTTTCAGAGTTGTAGTGTCTGCCTACCCTCTTATCGTCCTCAAATCCTGATAAACTGATTGGCAGGACTACCTTCATTCAGCATCTTACAGCGATCATCTATCAGTGTCTGTTGGAAATGTACAAATTTCTTTTGTCGGATTTACATGGCATAACTAAATAAATCTTCATTGGCAAAATTTTCATTATATCATAGCATAGCACTGCAGCACCTACAGTGCATGGATGCAAAATCACATCATTTATAGGGTAGGACAACATTTTGTGTGATGCACTAACGCGGATACCTTTTACATGTTTCATTTAGTCCTTTTTTGAAATTTATATCGTCTCATATTTAGTTGCTCCGTCTCTTAATGACGAGACTTGTACAACAACCTTGCCTAAGACGTAGCAGTTAGTTTATGCTATAGGAAAAACGTAAACAGGCTCTTAAATAACGAATGACTACTCCGCCCCAGAGTTCACGGCGTATTGCACCGTCCTTTGCTCCTTGGCACATTGATGCGCACGAATAGTTTATGATGCCTATGCCACAGCATATACAGAGTATCAGCTCCTAAAACATCGTTCGTGAGGAGCGCGAGGTCACTGTAGCAGACAAAATGATGTGAGACGCATCCAGCATTGCAGTTGCTCAAGTACCATGTAGTCATGGTCCGTTTAAATGCCCCAGCTAAGCAACCAGGAGCAAGGCGCGGTGCAATACGCCGTGAAATCTGGTCTTGGAGGAACCATTCGTTAATTAACACGCTCGAACGTATAAAAGTTTAGAATGTTTATGCGGAAACAGGCTGTTAATGATAATTGATGGTAACCGATGATTATCATTCTCATCTTCATGATAACTGACAAAGAAGGGGACGGTGACAGGTCAGGAAAATATGTAATTATTAAGTGACGCATTCGAAACCCACAACGGTGTTCCACCTTCAGCGCAAATTATTAATGTACGGCGGTGATACGGACAAGAGTTTTGCAATTTGGCAGGATAAGGATAATAAATTTTTCTTCAGGAGACCTATTTACTTTAATAACGACAAATGCATTGTCAAAGACACAGCAAGTTGTAAAAGAACTTCGCTTTGTTGTATAGCTGTAATCTGACAGCTGACCTGAATCACTGAACAAGTGCATCCAAATCTCACGGAAGTAAAACGAATTAAACGCTAAATCTCTTTCAATATGGAAGAATAAGTTTAAATATTTTTCGAATCTCTGTTCCTCGCTTCCAACGGAAGACGCCCCCAATGCTTGGAAAACTTTCGTCGAAGTCACGTTCAGCAAAAGCTGAAACATAACTAAGCTCTTTGATAGAACATTCAATAGGGCACAATTAAAGCAGAAGCGCCCAGCAGTAAAAAACCGATCTTGAAAACACCTACGAATTAGTTTAAAGTCGTTAAGTGGTCAAAAGTACCTGACAGTCTGGTCAGCACTAGCCAAATGTAAGTTTCATGCTACAATAGACGCTGTATATTATCCACGCAGTCATCGATATACACGTGTGACAGTACATCGAACAGAAATTTTACTCCAGCTGGAAAGCTGAATGACTACTGCGCAAACTGAAAAAAACAGCTGTCAAATTATACAGCAGCCTCGGCTGCAGAAACTCTTCTTTATATTAAACTCGTTGCGTCATTGAACGTCGAGTGTAACTGTTTAGCTGCTTACTGACTCAGAACGATTTTAGCGCAGGTGATGAGTAACATTCCAAACGTCAGATTGAGGCCTTAAATTCACACTAAGGAGGAAAAGAGGTGCAGTGATATGTTCTTGAAGCTTATAACCTAAGCTTATGCTACCGTTACTTTAAACAAAAAATGCACCTAAATGTAAAGCGATGAAACCTGCAGGAACAATATCGGCCAGTTGATGAACGGCTAAGAACTGACACAACCTCGTAAGACTGAGCACGAACAAGTCAGAACTCATGTAATTAATCCATGGTCCAGCAAATGGAACTCATCTGGCTGACCTACGTGAATGACGACTTTGTTACTCAGCACAAATTAAATGAACCACCAGTAAGCACGCGGCCGATTCTGATAAGTAGCATAAAATTTTATCGTTTCGAAACGTGGACAGATTCGGTGATCGACATAAATTCCGAAACCGTGACTAGTACTAGTAAACGATAATATTTGCCACCGACACCGCATGCCGGGGAAGGGTGACAGTCCAAAAGCTGCTTCAACACAATAACGAGCACATGAATCTGAAACCCCCTGTAAACGGTTGAAAGGTAGCGTTGAATGTCCTGATGAAACCTGATCAGCCATGGACAAAGTCAGCTTTGAACTTTTCGCAATGCAAACGAAAACAACATATTTTGCGCGGCGGTAAGGTTAGTTGGTCTAAAATCCGAGATCACTGGTTACCGATTTCGTTCCGCACCGCTTTGTAGACTTTTCCTGTTTTATTACTGTTCCAGACCCCCCTCCCCCGAGGGGTTGATTGAATCGCAAAACCTGCGAATAAAGAGAGATTCATCTGCAGCACTCAACGGCGTACGAATTGTGAATACTTAGCTCAAACTCCAACAGACACATAACTACAAATTATGTACATTACATACAAGATAACACAAGATATAACCACAGTGTTCTTGGGTAGCCTCCACGAGTGGAAGAATGCCCCACTACCGAAACTGCGTCAGGCATCAGTGATCTCTGGGCACTCTGGCATTCACCCTGATGTCACAGACGAAAATGACAGCAACAACAATAACGGCGTCCGCTTTACTGAAAGCCATACAGAACATAGCCGCGAAAGAAAGAACACAAGAAAATAACCGAAGTTTATGCACAGCTACTTTGGCGTGTAGGTTTATCATATACAACTGTGTTTACTTTACTTCGTCAGCAGCTGAGAAAGAAGCCTAACAAATGTTCTGCAGCAGCAAAACTGCGCTCTCACAGGAAAATTCCGATGACTGTCGCAAATGTTACCACGACCAAGCCTGTTCATATTGACCCACCTACTTTTTGAACACCACTGTGTGGGAAAGAAGTAAGGAAGTAAGGAACTATGAGGGATGACAGTCACCTCGTTGTAGATACTGCTGTCACAAGTAACGTATTCCTGGTTGATGGTATTGGAAAGGTGATCGAAGCCACATAATAAGTTCCGCGAAAGAGGGGTGTTATAATTAGCTCCAAAGATGAACACGGAAAAGTGATGCATATTTTTGTAGACAGAAACGTGGCAATTCTTTTGCTTATTAATGGTGACCTGTGGTCATTTAAAAAGGGACAAAACACTACTCTTGTTATTGCTATGTTATGCGAAATTTGCCACTCCCATGTACGAATTACTGATGGAATGCGGTTATGTTTATGCGGTAGAATAAAGAAAAACGAAATACCGTTCGAACGTGATTTTCACGGGCGAAATGCTTCGAGACACATCTGACACTGCAGGTGTTCAGTTACAGTGGAGCCGTGGCCTGCCTACATGCTTCTTCCCTAGGCAACGATGCGTAAGGAGGCGGTGCAATACGACGTGAAATCTGCTTTTGAGGAGTTATACGTTATTTTTGTCAAATCTACACACATTTGAATGCCATCTAGTGGTTCTGCAAGAATTAGGGAACGAGCCAAGACATAATATTTAAGCAAAATAGTCAACTATACCAAAGTAAAAAATGTAAAACAGCAACAACCAACTGCAGATATAGAATGAATAGCTCGGGCGGTCTACCGGAAGTGGCATGATGTTGAAGCGCCAACATTGCACGAGTAGTTCAGTTCAATGCAATGAATTTTGACGGT